ATCGACAAATACAATAATTATAATTAATGATAATAATAATGATAGTAAATTAAAGCCGGAATGAATACCAATAAAATATTTCCAAATTAAATAATTAGTGTTTGGAGAACATGGATCCAATGCACAGGAAATCACTGTTTAGTATTATTTTTGAAATGTAAGATAAAGGAAGAACCCAGTACAAAAACAAAAAAACACTATTAACACCAGTACAGCTATTTCAAATCGAGTGAATCTTAAAATAACGACTATAGACATACCTGTTCGTCCGGGATATCTCGTTTTCCCGCCAACAGGTGGTCGAGTGGTGGTTAGACTGAATACTGGCGTAGATGGTGGCTTTCTTATTGAATCGGTTCGGCTACTTATACCACCTGTTGAGGGTCTTCTGCTATCGCCACCGGAAACCACCGAGTGACCGGACTTCGCTGTACCAGGCCTGGATCCGCTGGTGTCGTCGGTGTCGAGAGTGATAATTGAGCCACCATCTGGCTGGTCGATGGATGGGGTCCTGAGATCGATCAGAGAGCCATGCGAAGAGCCTGTTTCGCAAAATCCACATGTTTTGGCGCATTTTGTACGTGCTGTGTAAGGGCGATCTAAGCAGGATTGCGGCGTACATGTCTTGTCCGTGTCTTTGCATTCCTCAGCTTTGGTACCGCCCGTCGATACTTCGCTTCCTGTAAACCAATTGATCAACATTTGTCCTTAGAGACAATGAAGGCGAGAAAGAGGAAATCGCTCAGATCTAGTTTCCTAAGCATAGTAACTTTTTTGAGGTTTCTTCCTTATTTCTCCTACTTTTTTCCTCTCATCTTCCTCTTTCTCTCCCCTTCTCTCCCCATTCACCCACCTTTCCCCTTCCTTTGAGATTCCCCATAATTATAAATACATTCAGTGCCCGAGCTTTTTGATACCCCAAGCATAAATTCCAATTGAATTTGACATCTTGCCGGGAAATTTGGCCTCACTCACTGACAGTGTTGGCTTTTACCTATAAATTTATGAAGAATGAAACAACTGCTACCAGTATCGCAGGCTGTCCTTTCGAAAACGAAAAAG